AAAAAAAAATTATCAAATACTCACTGTTCTTGCGCACAAACTTTCGGGACAAAAATAAGTTTTAATCCAAACTAACCCAATCTAGCTAGTTTTGTATGCACATACCTGAAATGAGAACAAGGACAAGTGCTAGAATAATAGCAAATATACTGATCATCTTCATGTTTTTGAATTCTTGATTTCTTCACCTTCGATTTGCCCTGCAAATGTATGACAATTAGGTTGTCTTAGATGAACAAACGTACATAATGCCTTGTGTTAGAACTACCTTTATTTATAGATTTCTAATCATTAAATACTAATTTAAGAAGTTCAATGCATCTATATGAGTTCATTGTATCTGTACTATATTTTGACATATATTGTTCATAATTAAAGCATTGTTTTGACATATTTGACTGTTCTGTAATCAGTAACTCAGGTTCATAAATGGAAGGGAAAAATAAATAGCCAAGACTTTTCAATATTAGGTTGATTCATGGATACCATAATTAGATGTTGGCCTCAGAAAAAAAGAAAAGAAAAGAATACCATAATTAGACTCCTTGAGTTCAAAATGTTGGGAGGTCAATAGCTAATGGAAATTCTTAAAATATAATAATATTTAGATCACTCTTACTTAGATGTTTATAACTAAATATTCTCTTCCATCTTAAATATAAAAACTAGTAGTAACGGAATTTGTACAATATCGATTTATTTTGGTAAAAATGTGAAGTTTTATTTTCTTTTTTTGGTAAAGAAATTTTAATTTATTTTATCTTACAAATTTATCATTTTTTCTAAACTTCCTCTATTAATTATAATATATATATATATAAAGAGGTTATTTCATTAATGAAGTAACATATAATGCAAAGAATTAAAATAGATATGTCAAGAAAATCAATATAGATTTATTAACAAATAACTAATCTAATTAATTTTCTTAATAGTTACAAATTTGTTGCATAGCTCTAACATTTTAGATGGGAGAAAGTAACATTTTATTTTATTCATTCACCTTAATCATTCTCAATCATTTTTCAAATTTATGATCCTTCGGTTTCACTTTTTTTTTAAAAAAATTTTTGTTATGGTCGTCTGTGTACATCATTCTCCTTTTAAAAAAAAAAATATTAGGCTGAGAATAAAAAAACATATATAAAAAAGCATTGCTATTCTTAGTTGTTAATTTTTGTTTAAGCTCTTGTAATATAAATTAGGACTTGTAAATTTTTCATATGGCCACTTGTTATTTTGTTATTGTTTGTTGTTAAAATATGTATGTACACTTATAAATTCAATTTTGAAATATAGACATTTGTTATTATTATTATTAGTTGTTAAAATGCGAATGTGTATTTGTAAATTCACCTATAAACTAATAAATATAAACAACTTGAGTTAAGATTTGTTTTAAACTATTTGATGGTTATTGCGATATAAAAATAAGTTCAGTTTTATCACTTTCTATCCTCCTTGTCTTTCATTTCTATACCACTTGGGTTTTGCGAGTAAGGAATCAAAAGTTCAAAATGATATGGAAATGCTAGAATTCTTATTAAAAGATGTGTCAATATTTAGTACTCGACAGTATTTCAAATGTGATGATCATCACAAGAAAAATACTTGTGATTAGCCCAAAAGAAGAAGAAGAAGAAGATATGATGGAGTTAATTAATAAGTAGGGATTTTAATTAAATTCTATACATTTTTTGTTGTACTGAATTCTTATAATAATATTTTTGTTTTGCACAGGATTTAGATGACTTGTCTATACATATTTTATTTTTTTATTAAATTGTTTGAAAGAACATTTATATAACTATACACGAATATATATATATATATATATATATATATATATAAAAGAGAAACTATATGAATATAAACTCATTTTTTATCATTTAATTCGTGGATAGTATCAATTAAGATTAATTTGATCATGTCAAACATACATATTTTCTTTTTAAGAAATTATCTATAACAAATAATAAATGCAAAAAGCTTATTTTATTAACAAAAATCCTATACCAAGTCATCCCCCTCCCCAAAAGACTATGGCATTGGTCAAGTTTTCAATTTTTTTTTAGCTAAAGTATATTTTTAGTTCTTTAACTTTACACAAAGTTTTATTTTGGTCCTTTAGCTTTAAAAAATAACTTTTAGTCCTCTAACTCTAAAACTGTTAACAAAAAATGATGATATTAAACTCTTGAATGCTAATAAAATATCATGAAATACTAACATATTAAATAAATATTCAAAACAACTATGATTGTTATAAAAAATTATCATTTAAGACTAACAATTTTGGATTAAAGGTTCAAAAGTATACTTTTTAAAGTTAATGGAACAAACTGAAACCTTACATAAAATTAAAGAATTAAATATATACTTTAGTCATTTTTTTCTTAACATTATATAAATATTATACATTTATGACCACAAGATGAGAGTGGTAAATCTCAATTGCTTTTAAGTGCCTAATACCTAATTATCCGTTTAATGCCACCTAGCATGAAAACGAAACTCCTTTCTCATCGGTCTGTAACCACTCAGCCCAATTTGGAATTTGACGTAAACAACCCAAGGAAACAATTGATGAAATTAATTAGATTGGGTTGGATCTTTGGGCTTATTTTTAAAGTCCAATCCATTAAAGAATGGTTTTTTTACTAAAAGAGGAAAAAGTGATATTTTGGTATCTATAATTTTAGCTCAATATAATTCAGTTCTAATAATTTTTGACTTAATTGAAACTCAATCATTGTGCTGTGAAATATATAATTTGATTTTCTAAAATATATGCACTAATATTTTAAATGATGCGATTGTAAGGATTGAGTTGCGTTGAATAATAATTTAGGGATTATATTATAATCCGGTTAAAAATATAAGAGTTAATTTGTACGAAATTAAAGTTGAGAAATTGGATTTCAATCAATTTAAAATTATAAAAACCAAAAATAGAATTTTCTCTTGAAAAAACACTAACAAAAATAAAACCTGAAGCGAAAAAATTAAACCATTGCTGAGAAGTTTATTGATGATGTTGAATCTTAAAATTACCAAGCACTCCTTGTCCTTATTATTATAGGAGATTCTCAACTAATTCTCATGTTAAGGAATGATAGTAAAAGCATTAGATATGTTCTAAATAGATTAATTTTTTTAAGTTTACCCCAACTTAAATGATTCACGAACTTATTAAATGTAAACCTTAATTAGTAACAAGGGTAAAATCAAAAAGTAGCAATTATCAAGTTAGTCGATGACTTAAATTTAGGGCAAAAAATTACTTCTACAAGATGCCTTATAAATGACAAGAGGAAGTATAAGGCTAAATACATTTGTAACTTGAAACCATAAACAGTGAATAGTTTAAAAGGAAAAGAGAACAAAAAGAATAACCTACTTTTAACAAAGAACTTCGTGTTACATAATATTGCCTGTCTGCGTAATTAAAAGGACAAAATATCCTTTTATTCTTTAAAGCGGATAATATATGTTAATGTTATTCCAGGTCCTCGCATATTCTAAAGTAAGAAATTTAGACCTTGTTTGATTCCTTATTTCCAAAACAATTTTTCTTTTTTTAAAAAATGAAAAAAATTGTTTGGTAAATATTTTTCCATCAGGGTTTTATAAACTGAGAAATGAAAATTTATTTTTTAAAAAATGAAAAAAAAATCAAAACAACTTTTATATATTTTTTGTAAGCGTAGCGTTAACGGTTAAGTGAGAAAGTCTGACTTCAGCGCTGACGTGGCACTCAGCCTCATCATCGTCAAAACGCCTCGACCTCCCTCTCGTTATCATCTACGTGCATTCAAGCTGTGGCAAACCAAAGGCCTCAGCCTCGTCGAGCTCTGCAACGCCGTTCAAGAGGGTGGAGATCGGCGATTGAACAGTGAAGCAGCGTGAGGGTAGCGCAAGTTTTCAGCCAATCTTTTCCAATGTCTATAATCCTGCAATCCCTTCCGCCATTGATGGCGCCCCTTCCCACTCCGATCGATTTCCCTTTCTCTCTCTCTCGATCTCTGAATCAGTCATGGGAGCTGAATGATCTTGGCCCAACATTTGCTGTTGTGATGATTGAGGTATTTTACTATAAGAATCATGCATCCGTGGGGGAAAAAAAATGATTTAGGAGTTTGTTTTCATCTTCGTTCGAGCTGGTCTTTATGTTGTGGGTGCGTGCCTGAGACAGCATCACTTTCTCTGTTCTGTTGGTTTGTTTGTGATTATTACTGAACTCTTCACGTCACTGCTTCGTTCATAAACCCAATCCCTTCACTGCTCCTAAAGAGCTTCAGCAGAAGCACGAGGGTGCTGTTAGAAACTATAGAGTTTACATGATTTGGTTCAGTGGCTTATCACGAGGGTGCAATCGGAAACTCCATTGAGTTTTCTTGATCTTGTTTTTAAATTTCCCTTCTTTTTTTTTCCTTTCTTATCAATCTTGCTCCAAGTTTCGTGTTATTGTTGTGGCAGGGTTCATCACCTTCTTTTCTTCTTAATCATGTTTTTATTTTATTTTTCTTATGACGTGGCATGAGATGCAGAATGACACACGGCATTATAAAACCTATATGGCAAAATCACGTCAACAAAATTGGTCAACTCAGTCAACCGTCTAAGATAGGTCAACATTGCTATATTTTCATCATTTGCTTCCACAGGCAGGCATCCACAACTCGCAAAAACTTTGGATGCAAAAATGCCGCTTAACCCACAAATTTTATTCTATAAAATCGGGCTAAAAGCAAAGAATGATCCTATCTTTGTTTAGCCGCTAAACTGCTCAAGCTCAAGCTCTCACTTCTTGAATTCAAACTTATTGCAGCTTGATATGATTGTTTTATAACAATCATTCAAACAATGTTTTTTCCTTCCTAAATCTTGTTTTGGAAAAAAAAATTATAAAACTATTCCGATAACATAACTAAAAACAGAGTAAAAAGAGCCTTAAGTTCCACGTACTCCTAAAAGCTAAATCCCACCGGAAGGAAGAAAACTAAGATCCTTTCTATACATTCATGCATTCACAGCAAGACGCCTACATAAAATTCATATTCTATTTCTATGGTAATCATTTATTTTGCATCTCTTTTTCAACATACTACACTTTTTACTGGGCGTAAAACATCCACATAGATTTCATCCTGGTTCTCTCATGCAGCCTCCTGGAAGAAGAAACTTGAACTTGTGTGCATTCTCTATCAAATAAGCAGGAAGATGAACTGCAGAAGCAGATCGCGGGATGGATCCCATCTTTCTAATCAGATCCTGGAAGGAGTATTCTTCAGGGAGCATATCATAAAGATCATCTCCCTTACATATAAGCTCCTGAATTCTCTTATGACCAAGAAAATCCCTCTGTTTTGCCCGGTCTGCGTGACTATAAGCTGTCATTTTAAACACAAACTCAGAAATATACCGAAAGCAGAAGCTGCAGTGCCATCCTGCATCCGAGAAGATCACATTAGTTAATCGAGAGTGTCGGTAACGAGTCAGGGGACCATACAAATTTGCTGTGGCCCGCCAGCTGCTGTAGTCGACAGGGAATTCAAATGAGTACATGTAGTGCTTCAGTTCAAGATGCAAAACAGCAGGAATTTCATCACACCATTGAAGCAGTTTCAACGTGTGAGGGCTAGGAATCTCATCTGTATCTGCCATAAGAAGAATGTCACCATTCATAATCCCTGCGTGGTGTAACAATTTATTCATTGCTGCACGTTGCTCTGACTCAAGAACAAAAGGGTCCTGACGTGATCCAGGGGTTGCAACTCGTCCAGGGAACATGCCATGAACAACCTTGTCTGCAGCAAAGGCGAATCTAGCTCGGTTTGAGGCGAAGAATAGAGGTTTTGGGATGCCTGTGAATGTAGTATTGGACTCAAGGATCACAAATTTTGAAACGTAAGGATAAAGTTCTCTCCATCTAATCTCTAGTATGTCTAACTCATTGCTAAAGATGATTGCATCAAAAATGTGACGAGGTTCAGAGCGCAGTGACCAGTCATGGAGGCGGCAGAGATGATCCATGGAGACATTTTCTGCATAATAGTGAGGTAAACGAGTGAAGGGAGCTGGGGGTTTGTCCCAAACAGGTCGGAAGAAGTAAGAAATCTTTTGGCCATGGATGAACAATTCAGCCGCAAAAACTATTGCCAACAAAATAAGAAAGACATAGCGCAATTTGGGAGATTTCTGTCTAGCGGTAGGGCGAGTTCGATAAGCCATGCCTTGAAGAGAAAATGTTTGTCAATTGAAGCGATTAACATGTTTGCCCCAATTCAATGAATTGGATATATCATGTCCATCTGCAAGCTGCATAAGTTTCATCAAAATGGATCAGAATATAGAAACTTGAATACAAAGTGAACATATTTATGCCATTCAATGTGAATTTTCAAAACCAAACAGTCAAGTACACTTTGCAACAGTTAACTAATATCACCAAGCTGTTCCTCCTCACAGTGAGAAAACATAATGGATTCTCAACATAATTTGGCAAATCAAACATAGGAATGATGTCTTGGATTATATTAAATTACCTATAACTAATGCTCACAACCATATATATGAATTAGCCATTGACGTTTAGGTTTCAAAGCCTTAAGCAAGCTTATAAGGCTGTCCAAGACACTAAAACCCATAACAACATTCTTCTTCATTGTCACAAAAATCTGAATTTAACCTCTGCTCTTGATTAACTGACTGCTTTTCCAATAACAAATATCACCACTGATACCATTGTCCCAGGTAAAAAGGATTCATCAACAAAAAATTTGCCATCCAATTAACAGAGTCATCTCAATTAGAACTCATCCACTTAATATTCTCAAATTATCCAATCAAATTTGTTAACACCTTTAAGAGTCTAATTGAACCATATCATTGTGATGAAAAATAACATGAAGCCTCCACATTCATGCATCTGGAGAAAAGACGATACAAATGGGGTCAGAATCCCATTATCATAAAACAGAAACAGATGCCTAAAGAGTTGGATGACACCTTAAAAATCTGGAAATTTGTAGGAATCATGAGAGGAAGCCCCCTTGAGCTTCGAGCCAAACAAGAAAACAAAGATGAATCCCATCCCCTTCAATGTACAACAAATAGATCCCCATTCAACTGAAAGAAACCGTTTCAACACAGAACAAAATGACGACCGACAGAATCACATCTCAATCAAGAACTCAAATCATTCGAATTTATTGATACCTCTTGCCTTTATTCTCAGAATAAACCCCCCAAAAGTCATTCTACCAGAAACTTCAAGGTTCACGAATTAGCTTCCTAACCTTCCATAAAACGCAGAAACGCAAGGAAACCAGTTAGAGAGAGGAAAGTACAAAGAAGGCCAAGAAAGGAAACGCAATTACAACACGCGTACCTTAACATTAATGAAGATGAAGAAGAACAGCGAAAGCTAATAGGGTTAAAGTGAAGGCAGGGAAGATTGATTGTGATATGGAAAAGGTCGTGAGAGAGAGAGAGAGAGACTAGAGAGAGAAAGGGAGATAGGGGTGTTTTTCTGAAATAAAAGAAGAGTGATAGTGGTCATTGTGTGAGATTGACTTGACGCCATTGCGGCATTACCAGCTGAAGTATGTGGTGTTTCGCAAATCTCGAAAATGGAGAAATGGATTTGGACAATTTATTGTGTGATCATTCGCCACTGGACAATCACTTATCACACACGCAATAATTCACTATAAATAGCTTCCACATTAAATACTTATTCTTACTCATTCCTATTTTAATTATTTTAATTATCCTAGTTGATATTTGGCCTTGGCCGGTGAGGTGGTGGCACTATGTGACTTCATCGGTCTTTTTTTTTTTTTTAAATATATGAAACAATTTCTCTCGTGTTAATGTGTTTAAATATAAGAAATGAATTTTTTTGTCCAGATTTTTAAATTGTTCTTTACATTTTTAACCTCATTTCATATATGTCACTTATTATCTCTATAAAATTTTTTTATTTATTATCATTCACGTATTCTCCTTACAAATAAGAGTATAACTAAAAATATATATATATACTCTTTTAGTCTTATTTATAAAGTAGAGAGAATGTATTTTTTTTTCTATTTATAAGACATTAAAAGAAATTTTTTGTATGAATGTACAATTTTACTTTTCATTTATTATTGTGTTGACTTTATTTATATGAGGTATTATATATATTAAATAGGGATAAAGTCAGAAAGTTGTTGAATTTTAAATGAGAGTTAATAAAATTTAAAGTTTTTCTTGGTCTGTGTGAAACATGTTAGAAGTAACTTATAAATAGAATTAGAGGTATATATATCTTTCATATTCATTAGTTTTGATTAAACCTAAATAGTATATTGAGTCACGTGATTTTGATAGAACAAACAAGAACAAACAACAAGTCTTATCCCACTAGGTGGGGTCGGCTACATGAATCACATGACGCCATCGTGCTCTGTCAACAACCCAATCCTTAGATATGTTGTTGATTAGGAGGTCTCGTTCAATGACCTCATTCAGCGTTCTTCTCAGTCTTCCCCTGCCTCTTTTTATGGGACTCTATCTTGTTTGATCCACCCTCCTCACCGGGGCCTTCAAAGGCCTTCTCTGCACATGTCCAAACCATCTTAAGCGATTTTCAACCATTTTCTCTTGGGTAGGTGCCACACCGACTCTTGTCCTGATCTTTTCATTTCGAATCCTATCTTTTCTTGTATGACCACACATCCATCTCAACATCCTCATTTCTGCTACTCCGACTTTGTGCTCTTGTTTTCCCTTTATTGCCCAACATTCACTACCATACATCATAGCTGGTCTTATAGCAGTCCGATAAAATTTTCCTTTAAGTTTCTCAAGTACCTTCTTATCGCAAATAACTCCGGTAGCTTTCCTCCACTTTAACCAGCCAGCTTGTATTCTATGAGAAATGTCTCCATCAATTTCCCCATCCTCCTGTATAATGGATCCTAGGTATTTAAACTTTGATACTTGAGGAATAACTTGCTCTCCCATCCTTACCTCCAAATCCCTATTACCTTGCCTCCCTCCAAAATCACAATGCATATATTCTGTTTTGTTCCTACTCAAACGGAAACCTTTCGACTCCAAAGTCCTTCTCCATAACTCCAAACTAGTGTTAATTTCTTCTTTTGATTCCGCCATAAGAACTATATCATCCGCGAAGAGCATGGACTTAGGGATTCTTTCTTGAACAGGTTTAGTTAGAACATCCAGAACAATGTTGAACAAGTACGGACTCAAAGAGGATCCCTGATGTAGGCCAATCTTAATAGGGAAGTCCTTTGTCTCCCCCCCAGGCGTCCTTACACTGGTAGTTACCGCCTTATACATATCTTGTATGACTTTGATATACGCAACCCGTACACCTTTCTTTTCCAAAGCCTTCCACAATACTTCTCTTGGCACACGATCATAAGCCTTTTCCAGGTCAATAAAAATCATATGTAAATCTCTTCTCTTACTTCTATATCTCTCTATTAACCCCCTTAGTAAATAGATTGCTTCCGATGTGGATCTCCCTGGCATAAATCCAAATTGGTTTTCCGAAATAGAAGTCTCCAACCTCAATCTATATTCCATCACTTTTTCCCACAACTTCATTGTATGACTCATAAGTTTTATCCCCCTGTAGCTTGCACAGTTTTGAATGTCTCCTTTATTCTTGTAAATAGGAACTAAAATGCTTTTCCTCCACTCATCCGGCATATTTTTAGAGCGTAAAATTTCATTAAAAAGCTTGGTTAGCCACGCCTCCCCCTCATCGCCCAAACATTTCCAAACTTCAATAGGGATACCATCAGGCCCAACGGCTTTTCCATTGTCCATTTTCTTGAGAGCCGCCTTAACCTCTCCGATATGTATCCTGCGGTAGAAAGCCAAATTCCGATCATTTTCGTTAATTAGCAAGTCCTGCAAGTCCTGAGTCGCATAATTGCTTCCCTCATTAAACAACTTGTAAAAGTAAGCCTCCCATCTGTCCTTAATATCACCATCAGTAACTAACACTTTACCATCTTCATCCTTTATACACTTTACTTGGTCCAGATCTCTCTTTTTCCTCTCCCTTTACTTTGCGATCTTGTAAATATTTCTTTCTCCCGTCTTTGTTCCTAACTCCTGATAAAACCCTTCATAAGCTTTAGTACGTGCTTCGCTCACTGCTCTCTTTGTCTCTTTTTTAGCCAACTGATACTTTTCCTGGTTCTCTACACTATTGCACAAGTGTATGGCCTTAAAACAATCTTTTTTCTGTTTGACTTTCTCTTGCACACTCTTATTCCACCACCAAGTCTCCTTATCTCTTTGACCAGGACCTTTGGATTCTCCCAAAATTGCTTTAGCTACCAAACGAACCCTTGAAGCTATCTCTTCCCACATCATGTTTGCATTTCCCTGCAACTCCAAATTCCCTTCCTTCAAAAGAGTCCTTTTGAATAACTCCTGCTTCTCTCCTTTTAACTGCCACCACTTAATCCTGGGTTTTGCCACTTGATGGTACTTTTGCCTGGTACTCTTAAAACATACATCAAGGATAAGTACTCTATGTTGGGTACTCACCCCGTCTCCTGGAATCACTTTGCAATTAGTACACAATCTTCTGTCCGGATTCTTAACCAAAAAGAAATCAATCTGTGATTTTGAGACACCACTTTTGTACGTGATTAAATGCTCCTCTCGCTTCTTAAAACAAGTGTTGACAATCTTAAGATCGTATGCAAGAGAAAAATCGAGAATAGATTGTCCTCCACTATTAAGCTCCCCAAAACCAAAACCACCATGGGCCCCACTGAATTGTCCTGCTTCTTTACCAACATGTCCATTAAGGTCCCCATCGATAAAATTTTTTTCTTCGAGTGGTATGCTTTGAACCAAGCCCTCCATATCTTCCCAAAACTTATCTTTAAGGTGTGTCTCTGCCCCAACCTGAGGTGCATAGGCACTAATGATATTGATAGTATCCTTTCCAACAATTACTCTTAACGATATTATTCTGTCCTCAAACCTTTTAACCTCTACCACGTTTTTTTTCCATGTCCCATCAGCGATGATACCAACCCCATTCCTTGTGCTCACCTTTCCTGTGTACCAAAGTTTATACTCTCCAAGTTCCTTGGCAGCTTCTCCAGTCCATTTGGTTTCTTGGAGGCATAAGATATTAATCCTTCTGTCCCTCATAACTCCTGCTACTTCCATAGATTTCTCATTTAACGTCCCAATATTCCAAGTGCCAAATCTAATCTCAGTCTCATGAACTAACTTCTTTAGCCGCCTCCGTCCAAGAGAGTGCGGTAGCCCTTGCTCATTTAACACTACATCCGGGCGACAATGCAGCGGCTCTAGCTCATTTCTCACTGTACTCGAGCTATACAGCGCGTCACATCTGGGCAACGACCTAGCATTAGCATAATTACTTCGTTGATCCATGTTCATGAGATTCGACGGGTTTTTACGTTGGCTGTCGAGGGCCTAACACAACCCTCCTCCTTTATCCGGGCTTGGGACCGGCTATACAACATAGGCGGAGTTAGTCACGTGATTTTGATAATTGTTCTTTAAATTAAAGGCAGAGGGAGTTGTTCTTATAGTTTTATTTGACTTTAATTAGGCCTTTGTAGGTTTTTTATTGGATCCTTACAATTTTCTCAACTATAGATCTTAGTTCTTTTAATGCATTGAAAAAAGCTCATGTGAATGCTAATTAAGCTTAAGATGCTGTAAAATATACTGGCACAAAAAACTATAAAACATAGAATAATAAGAAAAAACACTTTTAGATATAAAGTGATGAAATTTATTGAGTTAAAACTTAAAAGTCATCTTTTTAGAAGTATTTATGAAAAACAAGTTGGAGGTTGAATTTAGTCCCAAACATAAAAGCTTAATTTACTTTGTTTTTTAAATTTATTTATTTTTAAATACTCCTATTAATTGCAAAGGTTTTCATCAAAAAGTAATGTTAATGCATATAATTAAATATGGTAATTTAGGAAAGGTAATACATATTTGTTATAGATAACCAACTTAAATAATTTTTTTATCCCCTTCCAATTAGTTACCTAAATTCTAGCTTTTATATTAAGAATTGGAGATAGTATTATCCTAACTATTAAAAAAATATTAATTTTGACCATTAACAAGTGCACTCCTTTAATCCTTAAGTTTTCAGGTAAAGATAGTTTCTATTTGATGATGCTCCCTCTAGTATTTATTATAAACTTTTATTCTTTTTATAATATCCTATGATAGTTTCAAGGACTATTGAATTTTTTTTTTATATTTGTCCATATTTAATATCAGTAGTAAGAGGGTAAAAATTAATATGACGTTTCAGCACCAAAAATATTAATATAATATTAAAATTTAGTTTAGGCAATAAGGATAATATTAAAAATAACTTAAATTTTATAGGAAATTTAAATTTAATTCAATTTATAACATTTGCGTATTTATTATTAATTTATTAATATTAATA